GAGCCTGGGGGCTGAGAGGCTGAAGGTCCGACCACCGATGGTAGGGCGATTGGGGCGGGGGACGTGGAGCAGACCGGAGCCGGAGGAACGGAGGGTACGGGCAGGTAAGTAGGGGGATAGTAGGTCAGAGAGGTAGGAGGGAGCAAGGCCGTGATGGCCTTATAGGTGAGGATGAGGATCTTGAAATCAATCCTCTGGGGGATGGGGAGCCAGTGGAGGCGAGTGAGGGTGGGAGTGATGTGGTTGCGGTGCCTGGTGTGGGACAGTACACGAGCTGCAGAGTTCTGAGTGACCTGCAGCTTGTAGAGGGAGTGGCGGGAAGGCCGGCGAGGAGAGAGTTCCCATAGTCCAGCCTTGAGGTGACAAACGCGTGGACCAGGGTTTTAGCAGCGTGAGGGGTGCTTACCAGTGCTTCTTTACTCTGCCCCCCAGCTCTGTAAATTACCTACAAAGCAACCAACCTCAGTGGACGATATCTTCCCCTATAAATAACACTTCAACTGCCCTCTCCCTCCCATAAAACAGCTACTGAATTTCTTTCTCTGTATCACTGATGTCTAACTCCCATCCCTGATATTCAAGAGAACAGTCTGCTCCTTTCAATCACTGGGAAAGTGAAAGAGGGAATGCCAAATCCCTAATAACAAAAGGGGAGAGTGATACCACCAATAACCAGGGGGCTGAAATGCGAGACGAAATGTAAATCCCCAAACCTATTCACCCAGGGGTATAAGTATTGCCCTGGCCCCGATAAGCAAGCGGGTAAAGGGTAACACCCAATAGCTAAGGGGCTAAACTGGGGCAGGGGAAGATGTAAAACAACAAAAAATTATATGTATACCAACACCTTTCATATCGGAAAGGGTTTGCAATCAAGAGGGGTGGAGGGTGGGGTTAAAATCCCTGGCAACAAAAACGATGATGGGAAAATGGAGACTGTAAACAACAACTTGCATTTATATAGTGCCCTTCACGTGAATTAGCATCCTGAAAAGCTTAACAGTGGCAGAGCCTCACATCAAGCCAAGCTAAAGGAGGAGGTGGCCGGAAGCACAATCGAAAAAAGGTCATCAGTTGTGATCTAAAAGAGCGAAAGAAGAGAGCAAGGCGGAGGGATTGAGGGTTACGCGTTGGGTACGCTTTGTTACTCCACAAGCCAGTTTACCTCGCAGTAAGTAGGAACCCAATTGCTAGTCGATCGCAAGTCTCTTATCTCTTTCTGCCCCACCTATCTCTCTCTCCCCCTCTGATCTCTCTCTTTCTCCCTCCAAAAAGGAAAAAAATAATTTGGTCACTTAATCCACAACTGTTTGTGGGACACTGCTGTGCACAATTGGTTGCCATGTTTCGCCCCAAAAATGCAGTCAATGCACTTCACAGTATATTCTGTGAAGCGCTTTGCGATGTGTCAAAGACGTGATAAGCACCTTATCACGTCATTGAGACATCTCAAAGCGCTTCACAGGATATACTGTAAAGTGAATCGACTGTATATTTTTATTATTATTATTTGTGGGCGAAACGCGGCAGCCAATTGGGCACAGCAGAGTCCCACAAACAGTCGTGGATAGAAGTGACCAATTTATTTTTATTTTTTTGAAGGAATCATTAGACCACAGAAAAACAATCTATCAATCGACTGACAACCGGGTTCCTGTTTACTGCTGGGTAAACAGAGGCGTGTGGAGTAAGGAAACTTGCCTAACATTTCAATCTGCCGGGAATCGAACCCTCTGACTTGCGAGGCGAGTTCTCTAACCACTGAGCTACAAGACTCACAGATAGAGAGGCAGTGTGAGAACCTAATAATATTATCACTAATATTAATAATTACTTCTATGAATAATTATCTTAACAATATAAAAGTGTTACTATGAATAATTACTAGTAACGATAACCTTAATAACACTTTTAACAGTAGTACTGCGAATAGTTATTACTATTAATAATTATCTTAACGACAATATTAACAGTATTACTAGCAATAATAATAATAAGAATAGACCTGATCACTTACCCAGTGACAGCTGAGCCGTCTGTTTGCTCACGTCCCTGCCAGGCATGACTCTGGGCTGTTTGTGCTGCTGACAGGCGGACGGTGGTGGAGGAGGAGAGGAACACAGAACACACTGAGGCTCGAGAGGAAATATAATCTGTGCATAAATGTGGTTCAAACCCAATATATAAACCCAATGAGAGAGACACGGGCCCTCCTACAATCACAACCCCTCCCACACCGGCTCCACCCGCCAAACACCCCCTCATCTCCCCCCACCCCACAGCAGGTCAGGCAGCATCTATGGAGAGAGCAAAGCGAGTTGACATTTCGGGTCAATGACAATTTGTCGGAACAATTCGCCGCCCACTGCTCCCACTTTCACTTGTTGCATCAGCCTCCCCCAAAAAATCAGAGAGCATTCTGGAGACCCGCGAATGGAAAAGGGACTTTCCGTTTACAGCACAGCTTGCAGATTGAGGAAGGAAAAGGGAAGGAAGAAAACAATACGTGGAAATCTAATGCTGTGATTATCAGGGCCAGATTAAGGGATGTGGAGGGGGGGGGTCTAAAACAGATCACAATTGCGTACTCTTTGAACTGCACGGGCAAAATATGCAACAATACCGTTCTAAAATACTTCCTTCCATTGCTTGTAAACATACACAATATAAAATTACGTTTGTATAGCGTCTTACACGTTTGGAGGGCATCCCAAGGCGCAGGTCAGGGATTTGGACCCGAACGGGGGGTGGGTGGGTGGGGGTTGGATTAGGGAGCGCGGAGAGCAGGACGGTGGCCAAAGGCGTGGTCGAAGAGCTCATCCCGCTCCTCGTGCGGAGGAGGGGGGGGGGGGGGGCGGTTGGTGTTTGTGGGCGCGGAGCTGGCGAGGGGAGGCTCGGGTTGTGGTTGTGGGAGGGGCCGTGTCTCTCTCATTGGGTTTAAATTTTAGGTTTGAGCAACATTTATAGAGATATACCTACATACTAACTTTGTGTGACTGATGTACAAGAACATCCAAATCCCTCTGAACACCAACACTACCTAGTCTTTCCCCCTCTAGAAAATAATCTGTTTTCTATGTTTACAACCTAGGTGAAAACTTCACACTTCCTACAATATACTCCATATGCCACCTTCTTGCCCACTCTCCTAGTCTGTCTACTTCCCTTTGCATTCTTCGTGTGTCATCCTCATCGCTTACTCTCCCACCTATCTTCGTACCGTGGCTTGTCTAATCGTTGCTCATTCTTCTATTATTGGGGGTCATCTTACATCCTATCTGCTGTCTCTAGGGCCTGGGTAGCCCCCTTATAAGGCAGTGACCAAAATTATATGCAGTCCTTCAGTTGAGGCCTAATGTATATAGCTTGAGTAAGACGTCTGGTGATCCCAACTCTACTGATTTAGCAATATAGCTAGAATTCTGTTGTTTATTGCTGCTTCAAGCTCATCCTAAACACCTCTCTCTGTCAGATCCAACCAAGGACCTGTCTACATCTTCTTCAGGATGTCACTTTTTGGAAAGAGAAGGGAGTTTCTCCCTGTATCCTGGCCAACAATCTATCGCATTAGTAAGCAGTCTTTCACCTCATAGCTGTTGTCTGACCTTGCTAAGGGTAAATGGCTGCTGCATTTGTCTATTAACAATTCCTTTGCTTCACAGTAATTTTTGTGAAACGCTTTTGAGATGCTTTAATGCAACATTATAAAATACGGGTTCTTCTTCTTCTTCTTCTTCTTCTTCTGCCTTCCCCCACCTCCGCAACATCTCCCGGCTCTGCCACTGTCTCACACCCTCAGGCCGCTGAGACTCTCATTCGAGCATTCATAACATCCAGGCTTATGCAAACTCCTTGCTTGTCGGCCACCCCAACTTCTCCCTCCACAGGCTGCAGATCACCCAGAACTCTGCAGCCCGTGTCCTCTCCCGCGCCAGGCTCCGCGACCCTATCGCCCCCGTCCTCACTCGACTCCACTGGCTTCCCATCACACAGAGGATACAGTTCCAAGATCCTGGTCCTCACCTTCCAAGCCCTCCATTGCCTCGCACCCCCTTATCTCTGAGACCTCCTAAGCCCCTACTATCCTGGTCGCTCCCTCTGCTCAGCGCCTCAACATTGGCGGGCGGGACTTCTGCCACTCCGCCCAAACCCTCTGGAACTCCATCCCGCAGTCCCTCCGCCCTCGCCCCGGCCTCCTTCAAGACCCGTCTTGACGACCCTCTTCTTCGACCGTGCTTTCGATCTCCCCTCCTCCTCCTCCCCACCCCTGCCCCCAAGCCTGAGCCCCCGAACCCCAGCCCGAACCCCCCAGCCCCAACCGCCCACTCCCAGTCAGAGCACCCGAGCCCCCCAGCCCCAACCGCCCAGACCCCCAGCCTGAGCCCCGAGCCCCCCCAGCCCCCAGCCAGAGCCCCCAGCCTGAGCGCCCCAGCCCGAGCCCCCCCAGCCCAGAGCCCCCCAGCCTGAGCGCCCGAGCGCCCCAGACCCCCAGCCCGAGTCCCCAGCCCCCAGCCCGAGACCCCAGCCTGAGACCCCCAGCCCGAGACCCCAGCCTGAGACCCCCAGCCTGAGACCCCCTGCCCCCCGCCCCAGCCCGAGCGTCCCAGCCCCCAGCCCCCCCGGCCCCAGCCCCCCCAGCCCCCCCAGCCCCCCGGCCCCAGCTCGGGTCCACGGCGCTGACTGTCCGGCGTGAAAGGCCCTTTACGAAATATAACCAAACATGAGGGACAATCATGACTGCAGTCTCCCCCTCCCCTCCCCTCCGCGCCCCCCACCCCGCGGGGCCACGTGTCCGGGCCGCCCTCCTCGTGGCTGATGCAATCAGCGGGGCGGCTCTTGCTGAGCCAACGCAACTTGATCATCGGGTGCGCCGGGACTGCGCAGGCGCTCGGGGGGCGCGAGAGGGGCGGGGCCAGGTGCCCGTCACTCCACCCCACCCCTCGTCCAATAGGCGGCGAGGACGTGGCGGTTTCCACCGCCGCCCCGCCCCCCTCCGGGCCAGCAGGTTAGGTTGCGGGCAGAGCCGGCGAGGCTGAGATTGTGGGCGGGGCCGTCTCTCCCTCTCCCTCTCTCTCCAGTGCTTTACCTTTCACCCCCTCCTCCCTCTCCCCTCTCACTCTATCGCAGCTCAAACAGCCCAGAGGAGTCATGTCGGCCGGGGACGCGAGCGAGCAGACGGCGCAGCTGTCACTGGGTAAGAGGCCTCCACATCTCCCTCCCTCTGAATCTCCCTCCCCCCCCACATCTCCCTCCCCCCCCCACATCTCCCTCCCCCCCTCTGTATCTCCCTCCCCCCTCATCTCCCTCCCCCCCTCTGTATCTCCCTCCCTACTCTGTATCTCCCCCCCCCCCCCCACTGTATCTCCCTCCCCCCACATCTCCCTTCCACCCACTGTATCTCCCCCCCCCCACATCTCCCTTCCCCCCATATCTCCCTCCCCCCCACATCTCCCTCCCCCCACTGTATCTCCCTCCCCCCACTGTATCTCCCTTACCCCCATATCTCCCTCCCCCCACTGTATCTCCCTCCCTTCCCCCCCATATCTCCCACCCCATATCTCCCTCCCCCCACTGTATCTCCACCCCATATCTCCCTCCCTCTGTATCTCCCTCCCTTCCTCCCCATATTTCCATCCCTCTATCTCCCTTCCCCCCCATATCTCCCTCCCTCTGTATCTCCCTCCCTTCCCCCCATATTTCCCCCCCTCCCCCATATCTCCCTCCCTTCCCCCCATATTTCCCTCCCTCCCCATATCTCCCCCTCCCTCTGTATCTCCTTCCCCCCCTTCCCCCTCATATCTCCCTGCCTCCCAGTATCTTCCTCCCCCTGTATCTCCCTATCTCCTTCCCTCTCTTCCTGTATGTCCCTCCCTCTCCCCACTCGTATCTCTCTTCCCCTTATCTCTTGTCCCCCATCTATCTGCTTTTATCTCTCTGTCTCCCCCCCCCCCCCCCGCCTCCCCTCTTTCTATTTTAAAAAAATTATTTGGTCACTCAATCCACGACTGTTTGTGGGACACAATTGGCTGCAGCGTTTTGCCCACAAAATACACAGAAAATCACTTTACGGTATATTCTGTGAAGCGCTTTGAAACTGCTCAACAACGTGAAAAGGTGTTAAATCAAATGCAAAGATTATTATTATTTCTTTTTCTCTATCTTTCAACTTGCCTCCCCTCTCTCCCACCCTCTGGCTCTATATCTCTTTCTGTCTCGCCCTCCAGCTCAACAAAAAATATAAAAATAATATCAAATGCGAGGATTATTATTCTCTCTTTCCCTCCCTCTCTAGCACATTCCCTCCCTACCGTTCTCTCACATTCCCTCCCTCTTTCTATCTCTGGACATGCTTCACATTCCCTCCCTCTCTCTCTCAGGCAGAGGGAGGATCCTCTATTCATCATCATCATCATCATCCCGTAGGCACAGGAAGTGCAGGAGCATTGCCCTCTCCTTATCTTCCCCTTCCCCTGTTTGCTCCCCCTGGTTATAGGGGCTGGGCTGTTACCCTTTACCCCCTGGGTTATTAGGTCTAGGGTTTTACATTCCCTCCCCCATTTCAGCCCTTTGGTTATTGGTGTTGTGGTATTACTTTCCCCCCTTGTTATTAGGGGTGTGGCGTTCCCTCTTTCCCATCCCCAGTGATTGGGAGGAGCGGACTGGTTTCTTGGGTATCAGGAGTTGGAGGTAGACACCAGGGACATAGGAAGAGATTCATTTGGCATTTTATGGGAGTGTTATTTCCTCATCTGCATGCTCCCTCTGGGCGATGTCATCCGCAGACACGGGGTAAACTTCCGCATGTTTGCGGATGACTCACAAATCTACTTGGTCTCCTCCAGCATCGACTTCAGGCCCGGATGAGCGTAAACTTCCTGTCACTGAATGTGGACAAAGTAGAGCCATACACTTTGTCTCCCGTCAATGTCTTCACACCTGCGTATCTAAACTCCTCAACCTCCCTGGGCTCTCCCTCAGACTCACCAAACCAGTGTGCAACCTAGGCATCTGGTTCGACCTCCAGCTGTCCTTCCTCTCCCACATCTGGTCCCTGACCAGCATGGCCTTCCTCCACCTCTGCCACATTGCCCATCTCCGACCATACCTTACCCCAAATGCAGCCAAAACCCTCGTGCATGGGTTTGTCGCCTCCTGCCTGGATTATTCAAAAGCGCTCCTCGCCAGTCTCCCCAGCTCCACTATTCCAAAAAAATCCAGCTCATTCAGAACTCTCCTGCCCACATACTTACCCGGACCAAACACCAGTTGTGGCCAGACTCACTGGGCTCCCCATCACCGGACGGATTGACTTCAAGATCCTCACCCTCGCGTTCAAATCCATTCATTCTCTGGCACCTCTCTACCTCTCCAACCTTCTCACTCCCTAGTCTGCTCGACTGGCATCAGCCTCGTAATTGTCCCTCTCACCCTCCGCTCCCCCATTGAAGATTGCGCTTTCGGCCACTATGCCCCGAAACTATGGAATACTCCCTTAATCCCTCCGCCTTGTCCCCCTCTCTACCTCCTTTTTCAAGTGTCACCTTTACGACCGTGCTTACGGTCACCTTCCCCCCGCTCCTCCCTCCGGCTCAAAATCAGGCTCTGCTACTGTTAAGCGCTCTGAGACGCTACCTGCGTGGAGGATGCTTGTTGTTATTTATGGGGGAAGAGATAGTCCACTGAGGGTTGATTTCTTTGTAGGTAATTTATGGAGCTAGGGAGCAGAGTAAAGAAGCACTGGTTATAATTGTTCCTCAAAAAGGGCTTTTGATGGACATAATAACTGCTGCTGCTTTTCCTCTTGACAACTAAAAGAGTGAGAATTAATATTTTGTAGATGAACTGTACGTGTCTGATCGTGAAGGGGATGATTCAGCAGGCACAGGAACGAAAGAGAAACCATTCAAGACAGCTCTTCGGGTAAAAAAAAATTCATTCTCTTTGTGTTCTCAAAGTTGAAGCTCTTCTGTTTCATTTTAAACGTTCTCGTGAGCCTTGCATTCATTTAGTTTTTGTCTTTTAGGCACTGACTGCATATGGGAAGGAGCCATTCCCTACTATTTATGTAGATTCCCAAAAGGAAGGCGAGGTACAGTGTGTTTCCTTTTGCTTCAGCTTTCCCAAACCATCCGTATGAACATGCAAAGAACTAACGCGAGATCGGTATTGTCCTATAGAAATTGCTGAACAGCCACGGGTGTGCCTAGGGCAACACCGTTTTAGCCACATGCACTAATGTTAGTAGAAAATGCCCTACATACACTTACATAATACAGCTAAATGTACTTCATGTATGTTTATATTTATGTTTACTTAACCCACATTTATTTTTCTTTCGTGAGACATGGCAGATCCAGTGTTTTCAAACGTGTTACACACTGTTTTAACCGATAACCAACAAGCAGTAACCAAGGAAGTAAAGCACACGCAATCATGAACCATTCACCCACTTTACTTTTCGTCTTACCATTTTACCAACAAACGTACAAAAACATCAAAGAATACATATAGATAGATATTTGGGGATGACACATTTTCAGGGCTAAATGGAGAGAGTGGTGGAGAGCACTTTCACAGAGCCAGCACGGACACGATGGGCTGAATGGCGTCTTTCTGTGCCGTATAATTCTACGATTCTATGATATGCCCTATGTATACGAGTTTTGCGATCACATGTTCAATGACTCATTTTTTATTTACTGGTCACAAGTACAATTTCCCCATCTCTGGATTCCCAATTCGTTAGGTGTGACTATGGCTAACGTATTGGACAACACTGCAATAGATCAAACTGTGCAAATGCAGAACAATTAGAAATATTGTTAGACTGGCGTTATGAAAGAGGATTGACGTAGCAAGGTTGCATTTTAGGCAAACCTGCCGACAGTTACCAATACATTATCTTTTGCAATGAAGTTTGTGTCGCTGCCTATATTCATGTGGAGTCCTGTAGCTCAGTGGTTAGAGCACTCGCTTTGCAAGCGAGAGACCTGAGTTCAATTCCAGGCAGAGGGCGAAACCTGGCAAGTTTCCTTACTCCACACAGAGCCTAATAATAATCCCTCCAAAACCAAAAACAATAATAAATTGGTCATTTTCAATCTACGACTGTTTGTGGGACATTGCTGTGCGCAATTGGCTGCCGCGTTCGCCCACAAATATACAGTCAATTCAGGGTGTTCTGTGAAGCGCTTTGGGACGCCCTCCCGACGTGAAAAGCGCTATATCAAATACAACGATTATTATTATTATTGCTGTGAATGCTTCGTCTGAACAGAACTGGCTTATTGACAGTTTGGGTGGTGCGAGACAAGGAATTAAAAGGGAACAAGGAAGAAATAGGGGATTAAGATAATCACCTTGTCATTGCAGTAATAAATTGAAGTTAACTCTTTTACTTCCAGTGAAATGATCACGTTCACAGGAAGTTCACATATTGCAAGGCCACATTCAATAATTCAATAATCTATCTTTCAGCGCTGGGATGTTATATCTAACACACAGCTGAAAAATGTCAAGAAGCTCTGGCAACGAGGACAGGTGAAGAATGAAGCAGCAGCCCAAAAGGAGGTGAGTGTTAACAGAAAACTGCGAGTCGCCATTCATACCCCTAATGTTTGACATACTAGCTCGTCTGTTCTTTCCATTACTGATGTTCAGAATATAAAGGTTTTCTCCTGTTCCCACCTGTCTCTCCTGAAGTATTGCCTTGCTACGGTACAGTTCCAAGAGCATTTAAGTGTCAGTTCCTAATGTGTGTTAGCTAAGGCTTCTGTGTGTTAGTGGGCCTTGTGGAGAGGAGGCTGGATTTAAAGACTGATGGGGAGTGGGAGTGACAAAGAGGCAGAAAGAAGTAGTTTAAGTAGTTAAGAGGAGTTTAGCACTCAAAATTCCTACTCCAGTTAATATGCACAGGCTGACAATCAACCTTTGATTAAGGTGCGGGGACAATAAATATTTAAACGACCCCTGCTTTATGTATGTCAGCAAAATTATTTCAGGCAGACTAGTTCCTGGAGGGTGCAGTCCAGGCACATTGCTGTATGTAATTCGATACTAATTGCATTCTCTGAACACACAGAGATTGAGGTTGGGGTGAAACTGTCAGTCCTGCCTCGATTGTATAGGATGTCGCATCTAAGCTTGACTCTCCCCACACGGCTGCCACACATACACTACAGTGGTGGGTTCCAAAGAGAGACCAGTACGGGTAACCTGGCCTATTTTAACCTTCTTATCCCTGGGAGTTAGGGAGTTAAAGCATAATTTAGCCAATTTAGTTTAATTGAAATAATTTAGTCAATTGACTGCCACATTTAACCCACAAAATACACAGTCACTCCACTTTACAATATATTCTGTGAAACGCTATGAAATATTTCAATGACGTGATCAGGTGCTACATCAAATGCAAGAACTATTATTATTATTATTACCCCATGCAACAAGATCTGAGAACAGCAAACTCAACAAGAACTGTGGTTTGAAGCACAAAGTTCCTGGTTGTAAGTTGCAGCTCTAACCACTGCATCATCAGAGCTGCCGTGCCCTCAGGAACCAAAGATCTTGTGGTACAGGCGAGTGGGTGCTCCTATCAACACATGGTTTATAGGATGCCAAATTCAACCTTTATTATTTTAAAACGAATATCACTCTCAACAGATTGAAGATGCGTTACGCCGAGAGAAGAATCTGGAAGAGGCCAGAAAGGTAGTCATTAAACTGGACCCCAGTCTTCCAGAGCCAAAGTTGGTAAGTAATATTTGAAAAGTAACAGAGCATCAGTCCTCTTCAACTGGTAAGCAATCCATTCCAGACAAGAGCCCTGTACAGTCTGGTTGAAGTCTCTTGACTTTGAAGTTTGGTGGGCCTTGTGGGGAAAAAAATTAACTTTTAACTCAAATATTGAGATAATCCTTTCAGGACTGCGACTTAGACATGGGTTCGGTAAACGTTTCTACTTTCTTATCCATCAGTGAATGAACTGATGTGGTTCTGTGCACATTGAAGGTGTCTGAGCCCTTAGCAGGACTTGATATTTGTGGGAAAGACCTGACACATCACCAATCGCTCATTGGCACAAAAATGCATGTTCAGTTAGTAAGTATAAAGACAATAATTGCTCACAGCAATAGGATTGCACAGGAGTGGAATAGAAACTGAGGTTCATCTGGTGATCTCAAGAGTTCTTTAAAAGAAATGTGCACTGCTCTTATCTCTTGTCTCTTAAATCAATCTCTGTGTCACATAATTATCTATTGAATTTGCTGATGCAGTCAGCCTCCACTGCCTCCCTTAGAATCCATTCCATGTATTCACTGCTCTCATAAAAAGTAATGGGATCTCAACTTGTCTATTCCCTTTCCCTCTTCTGAGCTTGCCAATAAATTGTGTGCTGCCCTGGAAATCTGCGTTTACACTTCTATTAAGCTTTTGTGGCTTTTCCCTCAAAGTAACACTGTTTATACTGCTTTGAGGATTTGTGTTTGCGACAGAACTGTGCCTGTATCTGGAATGTGTTGGATGCGGATAAACCTTGAATTTCTTTTCTGCAGGTGAAAATACGAGACACTGAAGCTCATCGAGGGCAGCGAGTGAAGATCTTTGGCTGGATTCATAGATTACGCAGACAAGGTGCGATTTCTGCCTTTGAGATTATTGCCTAGAACCTTTCTAGGGTGGAAACATTACTCAGTTTCTGTAATTGTCTTTGCAGGAAAGAACTTGATGTTTGTGGTTCTGCGAGATGGCACAGGATTCCTGCAGTGTGTGTTCAGTGATAAATTGGTACAGAAGCCTATGTTTTCCTCCTTATTAAGATTCATTAAATAATATTGCTTAAAGTGTGGTGGTTATTACCAATGCAGGTCTTCATAACTCCTGCCTTAACCTTTAGGAAATAACATAATGGGATAAAATACATAAGTAGCTTGGGACATATCCGGAATGCGAACTAGATGGATCTTGGTCTTTTTTCATCTAGCATTTCTTATGTTCTTAACCGTGTTCACAGACTGTTCACTTTAGCAACACAATCATTGCTTGCAATAATATAAATATTTTGGGATCACTAATTAATTTGAAATGTACCTCCTTACTTGGCTGTGTTTTATGTTGTGTTTGTATTCCAAACAATTTAGCCGCAAACCATGGTAAGTGTTTGTTTTTAAATGTTATTCATCAGAACGTAAAACAATTCTGCTTTTCCTCTTGCAGTGTCAATGTTACAATGCACTGGTCCTGTCCACAGAGAGCTCCGTTGCACTTTATGGTACCTTGAAGATTGTACCAGAAGGGAAGATGGTAAGGATATGATGAACACATAAGAAAAGTGTAGGAAAAAGAACAACCCGGATAATTTGTCTCATGCACATCTTGCTCCTATTCCAACCTCTGACTGAGCTGTGTTTTATCCCAAGCCCAGAATCAATCTTCTCTTGAATGAAGAATCTCCTCTCTTTCAAGTCCCATTTGAAAACTTTTCCTGTTCGACCGTGCTTATGCCACCTCCCCCGTCCCCCAGGTTTGGAGTCGAGCTCCGCCACTGTTAAGCGCTCAGAGACACTACCCTGCATGGAGGGCACTATATAAGTGCACCGTTGTTTCTAGTATCTTCAAAAAATAAATTGGCAGCAACTTTTTAAGCATTGATGTCTTTTCAAATATTGACAACGTGCAGTTTTTTTCAACTATGCACTTTCTGTGTGAATGAAAGGGAGACTGAGTATTATTAATGTAGTTAACTTAAGGGCAAATGAAAACCAGTGAGGGCTTCTGATGAGGAAAGATGTTCCTTTCTATGCATCCACTTCTGCTTTAATGTGGTGCCTTGACTCTTTCCTCAGGCTCCTGGTGGGCACGAATTGATCTGTGATTACTGGGAGCTGATCGGCCTGGCCCCACCTGGAGGTGCAGACAATTTGCTGAACGAGGAATCTGACGTAGACGTGCAGCTCAACAATCGTCACATGATGCTGAGAGGGGAGAACATGTCCAAGATTTTCAAAGTGCGCTCCGCACTGATACAATGCTTTAGGGACCACTACTTTGACCGCGGCTACTTTGAGGTACGTTACTTGCCGTCTTCTTTGTGCCTCGTGAGCAAGAGGTTGACAGTAAATCTGGTGCAGCAACTTCTGAATAATCTTTCAACTGTGCAACTGTGTGTGTGGGGGGGTGGGCAGATGTTTGTCTTGTCTGAAGGACGGCACCTCCAACAATGCAGCACACCCCCAGCACTGTATTGGTGGTGTCAGACTGGACTGAGAGTTAAAAGTCCTTACTTACAAGAAGATTAGAAGGGTTCCACAAGGGTTAGAAATTAATCTTTCTAACCCATCCATTTTGTTGTTGTTGCTCTTTGGGTTCACATTGCCTGGCCACAAGTGAACACCCAACTATGACAGTACGTGAGAGGAGAAGTGTTTAATTTCTACATGTTGAAGCAACTGAGCATTTTGGTTGATGTATTTTTAATCCTCCAGATCACTCCCCCGACATTGGTGCAGACACAGGTGGAGGGAGGTTCCACTCTCTTCAAAATGAACTATTTTGGTGAGGAAGCCTTTCTGACCCAGTCTTCTCAACTGTACTTGGAGACCTGCCTGCCTTCCCTTGGGGATGTTTTCTGCATCGCCCAGTCCTATCGTGCTGAACAGTCTCGGACACGCAGACACCTTGCAGAGTCAGTAACCTTTCTTTTTGTGAGCATTTACATTCCTTAACTGTCATGCTCTATCGTCTTGCTATTAAACTATTGGTTCATGAACACTAAAAACAGCAGTGAATTATGCAGGAACAATTTTAAGTTAACTCGGCAGCTCAAAATTTAAGGCTGTTCAATTGGTTTAAAAAACAGCTATTGACTTTATTCAATTAAGTTCACACTTAATTCACACTTTATTCAATTAAGTCCACACAGGTTTTTTGATCGTTTCGAATCATTTTCGAATTGCACATCTTGTTTTGTAGTCTATATACAGTAAACTCCTGATAACATCACTCCAAGGTAAAAGAGTCCCATAGTGTAGTGGTTAGGACCCGTGTTCAATTCCCGGGCGGGACAAAACCATAGGCAAGTTTCTCCACACGCCTAGCACTTGTTTACCTAACAGTAAGTTGGAAACCAGTTAGTCATTTGGCAAATCGCTTTCCGGGGGTAATATTCCCACAAAAAAAGAATTTGGTCACTCAATCCACGACTGTTTGTGGGACACTTGTGCACAATTGGCTGCAGGGTTTCGACCACAAAATAGCCCCAGTCAATCCACTTTACAATCTATTCTACAAAGTGCTTTGAGATGTCTCAATATGTGACAAGATGCTATTTCAAATATAAGGACTAGTATTATTACTTTGCCACAGAAGGTGGTTTGTTATTCAGAGCACAAGATTCCAGTGAGACATAGAGAGTACATGACCTGAAGAACAAAAAGAATTTACAAACAGAAGTTTTCCCAAGAGACCAAACAGCCAAGTGAAAATGAAACCTAAGATAAGAAATGAAGCATTTACAGGAAAAAGGAGTATTTAGGAGCAGAGTGTTGCTAATCTCTCTCACCCTCACCCCCCCCCCCCCACCATACACAGAAACACATTGAATTAGACCATCTTGCCCACAAAATACCTGCAGTCAATCCACTTTACAATATATTCTGCAAAGTGCTTTTGAGATGCCTCAATGTTGTGATAAAGCAGTATATATGTTATATTATATATCAAATGTAAGAAATATTATTATTATTTTGCACAGAAGATTGTTATTCAGAGCCCCAGAACAATAAGGGGCACAAGATTCCAGTGAGACATAGAGAGTACATGACCTGAAGGACAAAAAGAACTTATAAACGGAGATATTCCCAGAGACACAAGGCCAAGTGAAAATGAATTTAAGATAGGAAATAAACCATTTACAGGAAGACGAGAGTTTAGAAAATATGCGTGGGCAATCTCTCTCTCTCTCGCACACAAACTCCTCCCACCACCACTCCCCTCACTGATTGAACTAGGCCATCTTTACATCCCCTGTCCCCTTCCACTACATCAGCAGAAGCTGTGTTTTCAGCCACTAAGCCCCAAAACCAAACGGCTAAGTGAAAATGAAACTAAGATAAGAAATAAGGCATTTATAGGAAAACGAGTATTATATAGGTGTTGCTAATCTCTCACACCCTCAGCCCCTCCCCCCCACCCACCGCCACACACACAAACACAATTAATTGGGTCATCTTTATATCCCTCGAGCCCTTCCACTACATCAGCAGCCGTGTTTTCAGCCACTAAGCCCCAAAACTCCCAGCCTCAATCCCTCCACTTTGCTCCCTCCTTATCCATCTTCAGATCTCACACGAAGACCTTCCTTTTTGACCGTACCTACGCTCATCTCCCCTCTTCCCCCGGCTCAGTGTCAAGCTCCACCATTGTTAAAGAGCTCTAAGACTCTACGCTGTGTGACCGGCGCTTGTGCTGCAAAAATGCAAGTTGTTGAATCGAGCAACAATACTAAAAATAGCCATCCTTTCATTACTGGTTTATCATGGGATTTACAGGGTTGGATAGACCGCAGTCATAGATGGTTGTTAGTCGATTGATAGATTGCTTTCTGGGGGTAATAATCCCTTCAAAAAAATTATTATTATAAGAGCTCAGTGACTAGTTATCTGGAGTGGCTAGATGAGCATAGGTCCTCCAGGATCACAATGGTGCGATGTGACTGGTGTGTGTGATCAGCGAAGGTTGGACTTGTATGCTCAGATGCGTTGCAGAGGCCTCTCATCTATTGCAAGGCACCAGATCGGGCACGGAGCCTCTGCAAAGTAACACGCAATCTTAAGGGACTAGTTGTTCTGATCAGTTTCATACCTGTGGTTAATCACAAACACCTTCTATATTATCGCGAAAGCCTGTTTTTTTGTGTGGGTGTGTGTAAGATATCTAAAATTCTCGTTTTCCTGCACACTCCACCTCACTGAGCCAGTCCAGAACCTTGGGGTCTTGTTTGACCCTCAACTATCCCTTCTACCCCACATCTGTGCCATAACCCGCTCTGCCTTCCCCCACCTCCACAACATTGCCCGGCTCCGACACTGTCTCGCACTGCAGGCCGCCGATACCCTCATACATGCTTTCATTTCATCAAGGCTCGACTATGCAAACTCATTGCTTGTTGGCCTCCCCAACTCCTCCCTCCACAGGCTACAGATTATCCAGAACTCTGCAACCTGTGTCCTCTCCCTCACCAGGCTCCGCGAACCTATCACCCCAATCCTTGCCCAACTCCACTGGCTTCCCATCACACAGAAGATACAGTTCAAGATCCTGGTCCTCCCTTCAAAGCCCTCCACGGTCTTGCTCCCCCCTACCTCTGCGACCCCTTAGCATCCTGTTCGCTCAGGTCCATAACTCTGTCCAGCACCTTGGGACTTTCCTAACGTGAAAGACGCTTTACAAATGTAATTTTGTGTTGTTGTAAATGCTTTATTTGCTAACTTTGCTAACTTTAATTTTCACTAGCTCTAGGCCCTGACACTTGAAGAAAACTCTATTTATAAGTTCTTTTTTCTTCAGGTCACATCCTCTCTGGTTGATTATAAACATAATTGGCCAATGAGGGGATATGAGTTTCTATGATTTTTTAAAAAAATTACATAAATAATATTTAAGAATTTGATCACTGAATCCACGACTGCTGTGTGCAATTGGCTGCTACATTTATTCAACAATATATACAGTCAATTCACTTTACAGTATATTCTGTGAAGCGCTTTGAGACATCTTGAAGATGTGATCAGGAGTATATCAAATGCAAAGATTATTATGACGATTTTATTATAAATTTGAATTTTGAGTCTCACTTATGACATGATGGATGGAGCCATTCACATAGTCGAGTGCAGTAGAATTGCAGTGAGAGCACCTTCAATTGTCTCTAACTTACAGGTACACTCATATTGAGGGAGAATGTGCCTTCATCACCTACGATGACCTTCTGAACCGTCTGGAAGATCTGGTGTGTGACGTGGTTGACCGTATTCTCAAGTCACCGTTTGGAGATCTTGTGCGTGAATTGCATCCAGTAAGTGACAGGAAAACCTCTCTCTGTTTAGTGTAAAGATATCAGCCTGGCCATTTGTTCAACTTTTACACCACCCGTAGTAACCGCTAAATAAAATCAGGAGAAGCTACTTGGCTTGAATCTCTCTGTGTTAATGTCTTCTTTTGCGTTTTTTTTTAATTCAGGAATTTCAGCCGCCCAAGCGCCCGTTCAGGAGGATGAACTACACTGATGCCATCACCTGGCTCAAGGAGCACAACTATAAAAAGGAAGATGGAACTTTCTACGAGTTTGGAGAAGTGAGTGTTGCATTTTTATAACATCCCAGAGCCCTTGATAGTGGCGGAGCATGATGCCGAGTGGGGGGGAAGGTGACTGTAGGCACGGTCGAAGAGGAAGGTCTTCAGGCACGATATGAAGATGGGGAAGGATGGAGCAAGGGATAGAGGAAGAGTATTCTGGTGCAGGAGCAGTGTGAGACAGGAGAGAGATTTAGAGGGAAAGTGATATAGAAATATACTTGTCAGTGGACTTTGAGGGTAAGATGTGGGTTTGAATTGGTAACTGTCCCTGGGGGTGGAAGCTTAGGGTGGTGGTAATGGGAGGTTAGGTTTAAATCTGGGAGGTATTCAGTGGGCACCTCTGAGTTACATACTGTGATCTGTTAGTGTTGCCTGTTAATGGCTCGGTTACTCAGTGTAGTTACAAAGGTGGGGGGAGGGGGGAGAGACGTAGGATGTGGTGAATAGGATACTCAGCACAGATCATCACTGGTGTTTCATATAGATTCAACAAGTGATGAGAATAAGTTCAGCAAAATCTTAATAGCAACTATACTTACTTTTGATTTGGAGGAAGCAGCCAAGCATTGTAACTTACCGTATCAAGAATAACAAACAATGGGATGATCACTAGCAAGTATATAGCCTGTATCATGGAGAAAGTAAATCCAGAACAATGCTTTAAATAATGTCAAGGCAAAAGGACAAGACTCCCAGAGTTCTAAAGGACATGTTATCACAGAAACTGGGGAGAATTTCTTTGGCTAAGGGATGACCGACAGACAGGTTGTCGGGAGAGTGGTTGAGGCCAGGGCACTGAACAAGTTGAAGAGCTGGCTTGGTGCTGTAGGTAGGGTTGCTGTTAAAATGTTGCTAAACTTATTCCTATCACTTGTTAAATCTATGTGAAATACCAGTGATGATCTGTGCTGTGTATCCTATTTGTAAGATGACTCAGTGTTTAATAAGGGTAAGCTTTATGAGGTGGCAGAGAGCGTTGCTGAGAGTTTGCAAAGATGATAATGTTTGTATTTGGCATAGCTCTGGCGCTTACAGCATCAGCATCCAAGGCTGCACTCTCCACCTCTCAAAGCCGGTCAGGAACCTCGGTGTTCTGTTCGACCCTGAGCTGTCCTTTCTTCCTCATATCCGCACCACAACTGGCACCGCCTTCAATCACCTCCAGAACATCGCCAGACTACGGCACTACCTCACCCCTCACGCTGCTGAAACTCTGGTCCACGCCTTTATCACCTCAAGGCTGGACTATGGGAACTCTCTCCTCGCCGGCCTTCCCGCCACCTCCCTCCACACTGCAGGTCATTCAGAACTCTGCAGCTCGTGTACTGTCCCGCACCAGACACGGCGACCACATCACTCCCTCCCTCGCTCACCTCCACTGGCTCCCCATCCCCCAGAGGATCGAATTCAAGATCCTTATCCTCACCTACAAGGCCATTCACGACCTTTCTCCCTCCTACCTCTCTGACCTACTATCCCCCTACTTACCTGCCCGTACCCTCCGTTCCTCTGGCTCCGGTCTGCTTCACATCCCCCGCCCCAACTGCCCTACCATCGGTGGCCGGGCCTTCAGCCTCTCAGCCCCTCGGCTCTGGAACTCTATCCCCCAGTGCCTTCGCCTTGCTTCCTCCCTTTCCTCCTTCAAGGCCGGTCTCAAGACCCTTCTCTTTGACCGTGCCTTCAGCTCCCCTCTCGACTCTCTACCCCCTCCTCGCTCCCTCCCTTCCCTCCCCTCACCATTTCCCCCCTGCTCGGTTCCTGACTCAACTGTACTGCACCTTGGGACGTCCTCCCGACGTGAAAGGCGCTCTATAAATGGAATCTTGTTGTTGTTGTTGTAGCGCCTTTCATGTCAGTAGGACATCCCAAAGTCCTTCACAGGATTTACTGTGAAGTGGAGTGACTGCGTTTGTGGGCGGACACTGTTCGAGGCCAGTTAGTTACAGTCATGTGCCATGAACAAAATTAACCTTTTATGCTTTTCTCCTACAGGATATTCCCGAGGCTCCAGAGAGAATGATGACCGACACGATCAACGAGCCAATTCTGCTGTGTCGCTTCCCTGCTGAGATCAAGTCTTTCTACATGGAGCGCTGCCCGGAGGATCGCAGGCTGACTGAATCGGTCAGTTCCTAGGTAGCACGTGTAGCCATTGTGGACGGCTCGTTGAAGTCAAACACATCTGTGCATTGGCCCAAATGGAGCAGGTCCTCCAAAGAGCTTTTAGATTTATAGCCAAATGATCTGTGCAGGTTACATTCTGTGTCCTGGGTGCTGTTTGACAATAGGTTTTGATTTGGACTGGGGAAAGCAAGCTTAGTATTTCCTTCAGATCCTTGCTGTCCCCCACTCTGTCTCAGTCTCTATCTCTGCCTCTCTCTCTCTCTCTCTCTCTCTCTCTCAAGTCTTCTGTCCTGTTGAAAATAAACAAAAGAAGAAGGGAGCTTTGTAACTAAACAAAAACTGAGGTGAACTGACTGACTGTTGCACAGCTGCATGTAATTGATGCTGTTGTACTGTAGCCTGTAATTTAATAATCTTTACATTGGATTTGTCCATGTCTTGGAGACTGTGCTGTGCACGTGGATGGTATCTCATTACCCCCAATACGCCGCTTGCATAAAATAGAGCTCAGAAAAGACTCCAGACGTCTGCATTCCTCACGGTCATTACTTTTATGCTAATAATGCTAAGGTTTAAGATCAGTTAGAACTCAATTTTAGTGTGGACGAAGGTTTTCCACAGTTCTTGAAATGACTTGGGACTGACAGCTACAAGGGTACAATGAGCAAATTTCCGGTAAATTGTCGTTGTGTAACTTGATTTGTTTAAGAGAAAATGTTATTGAAACAATCTTTGTGTTCAGACCAAACGTGCGCGTGTTGTGAAACCTGAAGTTTTTGTTTGTAACCTCGTAGACAGGACTAAAGGAATAATTTGGTTTCTGATGTTATAATCTGAGCTGTTTTCCAGGTTGATGTTCTGATGCCGAATGTTGGTGAGATTGTGGGAGGATCGATGCGTATCTGGGACAGTGATGAGCTGTTGGAGGGTTACAAACGTGAAGGCATTGATTGCACTCCATATTACTGGTACACTGACCAGGTAAGTTAGAAATTTGTCTGGGTTTCTCTTGAAAGAGGCAGTGTTATTTGCAGGATGTCCTCACCAGCACAAAACTTTGCATCCATCACGCCAATCCTCACCAGGCTCCAGCTGGCTCCCTGTTCCCGAACAGATTTCAAGCTTTCAATCCCTTCACACTCTACAACCAGAAGCAAAACCAACATAGCCTTGAGGGCCCAAACAGCTTTATCATCTGATGTAATTTCAGTGGACTTGCAATGTTTTTAAACTACTAGCAGTAAAATGCTGATATGTTTGAGAGGAAGCTCGACTTTCACATAAGGGAGAAGGGTAATAATAATAATATTCCTTGCATTTGATGAAGCGCCTTACGGCTTCGAGATATGTCTGGTCTCCAAGCAGTTTACAGAATATACTATAAAGTGAATTTACTGTATATTTTGTGGGCGAAATGCGGCAGCCAGTTACGCACAGCAATTGTATTGCTTGTAATTGTAGTAATTAATTGTAAATATAATAATAAATAATTATACAGGAGGAAGTAAGCACCTTGGGACGTCCTCCCTGTGTGAATAATTTGTTGCTGTAAACAGTGAGTTCAGACTAGTGTTGAGTAAACCCTGGCAAGGGCCCTGATTTCATGCTGTACATTTTTTGTAAATTTTTGTTAACGTACGTAGTCACATGTGGCTCATCAGATTTAGTATACGGTTGGCCGGTTAGATTTCTGTATGCAGTAACTTATTCTTTCCTCTCCAGCGTAAATATGGCACGTGTCCACATGGCGGATATGGATTGGGGCTGGAACGTTTCTTAACTTGGCTTGTCAACAGGCACCATATCAGAGATGTCGTCTTGTACCCACGTTTCGTTCAGCGTTGCAAACCGTAATGCCTCAACTAATTCTCAATGTTCTGCAAGATTGAAGGAAATCTGAGCACCACTTAGAAACAAACCACAGCTGATTAAACATTGCATGTCATTTAAAAAATGTTTGCTTACCTGTTTCCTTAACATGTAACCTACAAGCAATTATTGTATACCAACTCCTAATCCACTGCTGTATTAAATGACCCCAAAGAGGATCGTCTGCAAAGAGTTTTCTTTTTCTTCAGTGTCTTTTTGGTTCATTAAATGTATACAAAAAGAGAATGGTTAACTCTACCGACTGCATACTTACCCAGACCAAACTCCTTACCCACATCTTACCAGTTCTGGCCAGGCTCCACTGGCTCCACCATCACCGAATGGATCGACTTCAAGATCCTCACACTTGTGTTCAAATCCCTTCATTCTCCCTACCTCTCTGACCTCCTCACTCTCCAATCCACCACCTGGCATCTTTGCTCGATTGGCACTGGCCTCCTGCTCATCCCTTGCACCCTCTTCCCCCACCACCACCATTGGAGGCTGTATTTTCAGCCACTACGCCCTGAATCTGTAGAACACTAATCCTCAATCCCTCCACCTTGTCCCCTTTTTCAAATCCCGCCTGAAAACCTTCCTTGGCCATGCTGATGGCCACCCCCCCACCTCGGAGTCAGGCTCCATCACTGTTCAGCACTCTTGAGACACCACCCTGTGTGTAGGGTGCCACATAAGTGCATGTTGTTGTTAACCATTGAATGCCCAAACTGGTTGCAGAGGTAAGCAGGTATTGCTTAGTTAAGCTCCAAGTCTCCCAACTAGTGGAACTGTTGCTCAATGGGAAGGGACATGTGTCTGAGTTGTAGACAGAAAGATGGTTGCAATGCTCTCACCCTTTTCATGCTGAGCTCTATTGCCACCAATACACTTGAAGGGAGTTGCTGGTACCTACCATTCACTTAGTGAGAGTTCAAGCCTGTGCTTGTCACTGGGACATCTTTCTGACGTGAAGGGCGCTATACAAGTATAATTGTTGGATGTCAAATGACCAATTAGTGACTCCTCCTTGGTGTAGAGAGGTAAGGGTCTTCCGGGAGCTGAAGTGGCTCCAAGGTGACCATGGAATGTCTGAATCGAGCCAGCCCTCTATGGTGGTCTAGTCCACTTTCTGAGGCAGATAACCACCAGTATTCCAGGGCACTGCTGCTGACAGCACAGCATTTGAAATAATAGTTTGAAATAATATTTTCATAAAAATATCTGACCCATGTTGCGTTTCTCTATCACAGTGTAACTGATTTTATTAATTTTTTTAAGTGTGTGATTTAACTGAGCTGATTGAGCCTTGAGGTAACACCTAGAATCTGACAGAAAGAATTGCTTAACTTATTTATATTTAAGAGTGAAGGTTTATTTGAATATGGACTGGGTGGAATAAATTTAAATATCGATAATTTATACACTAGAAAAAGCAATATACTATATATTTGATATGCAAATTCAACTTCATCATCAAGTTCTCAAACCTGTATTTCCTTCTTAGTTGTGTTTTACTTATGTTTTTTTATGCCTCTGTTTTGGTGACCCATGGATCCATTATATAATTGTGCTATCAACACTTGAGTAAGATACGACTGTTTGTGGGACATTGCTGTGCGCAATTGGCTGCCGCGTTCGCCCACAAATATACAGTCAATTCACTTTACAGTGTGTTCTGTGAAGCGCTTTGGGACGTCCTCCCGACGTGAAAAGCGCTATATCAAATGCAAGGATTATTATTATTATTATTATTATTGGCAGGACGTGGAAGGGAGGACCAGTCATCAATTGACTAACAACCGGGTTCCTACTTACTGTTAGGTTAAACAAAGGCGTGTGGAGTAAGGAAACTTGCCTAAGGTTTCGCCCTGCCTGGGAGTTGAACCCAGGTCTCTCATTTGTGAGGTAAGTGCTCTAATCAGAACACTACACTCCACTCCTAAGTGATAGCCAGAATGCACAGTAGCTCAAAATAAAAAAATTTATACTTCGCCTCAGAAGCTATTCAGAACACGGGCAGGAAGGGGCACAAGATTCTGTCAGATACAGAGAGCACGTGACCTGAAAAACAAAGAGAACTTAGAATCACTTTTTTTATTACGAGAGACAGAGCCAAGAGTTAGTCAAAGTGAAACTAAGTTAGGAATTGAAGCATTTATAGGAAAACGAAAATTTAGAAATAGGGCGTTGCTAACAGAACAAGGCAAGCCTTTCAGCCACTGCGCCTCAAAACTCGAACTCCTATCCTCAATCCCTCTGCCGTCCTCCCTCCTTGCCACTCTTCAGATCTCACATGAAGAGTTTCCTTTTCAACCATACCTACGGTCATCTCCCCTCTTTCCCAGGCTCAGTCAACCTCCGCCATTGTTAAGAGCTCTGAGGCGCTACGCTGTGTAACAGGGCTTGTGCTGTATAAATGCAAGTTGTTGAATCAACCAATAACACTAAAAAGAGCTGTGGGTCAAACCTGACACCTGGGTTGTACTCTGGTTTGGTAAGCCTAAGGGATAGGCTAGGGAGCTTGAGGAGGTCAGAGCCGTAGGATAGAAGACTTTGACAGGAGCCAATGAGTATGGCTTCCATCTTGTCAACATTTAGTTGTAGGAAGTTCCAGCCCTGATGTCTGCCAGACAAGCAGAGAGAACATCGGTTGACCTGGAGCTGCAACTGGAGGAGATGTAGATTTGGGTGTCATCCATTTCACTTCTGCATGGCACTTTTCACATTTACACAGCGAAAATTCCTATGGTTACCAGGAAGAGTTATTTCACCCTCTTATAAACCAATAGTTGGCTGGTTCACTTCCACATTTTTAGCTCGCTGACTTCCACATTCCAGTTTTAAACTTACAGAAGGATTTTCTATTAGTCAGTTATGCAGTAGGCACTCGCCTTGCCCTACCCCTACCCCAACCAAACTCACTGACCACTGACTTTTGATATGTTCACTGACCAGTTTGTTTCACTCTTGTCTCAAAGTTCAACAGGTTGTGGGTTCAAGCCCCACGTCAGGCCTTAGAACTCTGTCTCGACTGACACAATTTTGTGCTGAAGGAGTGTGTGTTTGTCAAAGTCTCCAACCTTTTATGAGACATTAAACTAATGCTTGATCTGTGCCTGTTCAGATGGTGTCCAAGATCCCTTACTAGTACTTGGAAAGAAGAGGGAGTTTTTCCTGGTATCCTGGCCAATAAAACCCCAAAATAAAATTGGTTACTCACTCCATGGCTGTTGAGGGACATTTCAACACTGAACAACGAATAGACAAGTTAGTGCCACAAAATACACGTGAATCCAGTTCACAGTGTATACTTTGAAGTGCTTCGAAATGTCTTGATGATATGGCACAATATCAAATGCAAGGTTTGTTCTTATTATCTTTAAAATCTCTCATTAAGACTTATCTCTTCCTCTGTGCCTATTGTCACCCTCTTCCAACTCCCTCTCTCTTTCACTCTGTATCCAACCCCACCTCTGTACAGAGACCCAAGACTCGATTCTGCATGAACAGCACTAAGTAAATGTAAATGTATCTGTTGAAAAGCCTCTAGATCAACCCGAATGCCCAGTCCTTGGATTGTTCATAAATCGCCCGCCGTGTTTGCTTACAATTACTTTGACTGACAGTAAAATCTGCTTTGAGATATCTCATGATTTAAGGATGATGATTATTATCATATTCTGGTTTGGTGAAGCTCTGTGTTGTTGGACCACAATCTTTTTGGGGTGCCATTAACCCAAGGTCCAGCCAGCCTGATTTGGAGAGGTTGGACAGGAGGGGTGAGAGAGCCAACAACTGTTGGAACAGAGAAAGGATTTTCTGCCCGGTGGCCTGGCTGGCATTTCTCCCCTGGATTAAAAATCGCTCGGTCGTCTAGTTTGTGGGGAGATTACATTCAAAAAAACATTTAAAAGTCTGCACATGCCATGAGAAATCAGCCTCTCTCTCTCTCCTCCTGTCCACCATTCCAGCAGGTTGGGCAGATTAGGTTCACTATTGCCTCTTAGTGAAGAATTGGGAACGCTGGCAATGCTGGCAACCACAGACTTTTTGGGGTCAGTCGGGTGTCTAATACATTTGAAAAACCACCACCTTGCTTAAGGGTGTGCAAACCAGAATGAGTTCCACATCATGTATGCCCACGGAAATTTCCCCATGTCTGGAATGGAATGCCCACATTCTCACCAGAGTGTCCATTGGGGGTAACTGCTCGAGTTTAACCGGCTAAATCCGTGTAGCTTGCCATTGAGTGCACTGTCTGGCAAGCTTTCCACTGCTTGTCCACGAGGACTACCCAACCCTATTCCAGGTGTGGAGTCCTCAGTGGTTGGAGCACTCGCCTTGCAAGCGAGACACCTGGGTTCAATTCCAGGCAGGGCGAAACCTTGGGCAAGTTTCCTTACTCCACACCCCCAATAATAATCCCTCAAAAAAAAAAAAAATTGGTCATTTTCAATCCATGACTGTTTGTGGGACACTGCTGCGTGCAATTGGCTGCCGAGTTTTATCCCCAAATGTACGATCAATTCACTTTACAGCATATTCTGTGAAGCACTTTGAAACGTCTAGAAGATGTGAAAATCTCTATATCAAACGCAAGGATTATTATTATTACCAGTTGGGACGTCCTCCCGGCATGAAAGGCGCTATACAAATATAAATCTTGTTGTTGTTAGGGCTAAGGCTTGCAGAGTTAACAAGAGCTGAATGGGAAGAATTCCTGCTCCCAGTGACTGGACTGCTCTTCCAAGTCCTACTAATAAGTCAGGCTGACTGGCCTGTCATCAGCAATGCCCTGGAGTAATGCAGACCTGCCTCAATGAAGTCTGGCCTCAGCTGGTAACCATTTCCAGTCATTAAATACTGCGCAAAGAAAAACTTCCTGGCATCTGTCCTGAAATTCTCCATCTGAACTCCCCTGTGTTTTAGTGCAGCCTAAAATATTGTTCTAGGTTTACTTTTTTAATCCCTTTTAAAATAGTTATACATTTTATAACACCCCCTCTGAGATAATCTCACACTTAAGACTGAAGAGCTTTAACTTGTCTCATTGTTTTTCAGTGTTGGAACAAGTAGAGATCTGCTAACTTGCCCAACCCATATATTGGAGACAAAGAGCTTTGTACCAGAGCATTAAGTGGAAAGTTTCACACCACAACCAAGTAAGGTGTGAGTGG